GTCGATACATAGGGCTAGTAAATTGTACAATTTTAGATTGTACTTGTACGACTTCTTCCATGGAAAATTTTCCTGTACCCGTACGACAATTTTTCACAGTGTCCATAGAAAGATGCGTTTCTATGCACATCTCAACCGGATGCAGATTTGAATCTAGCAAGTGAGGAATTTGCATCTTAATGATGGACAAAAAAAAAACAACAAATCAATAGGGTATTGGTCTAGAGCGCTGAGCGGAAGTAGAAGAACAAAAACGGAAGATGGAAAGGCGCCCGGGCCGTCCCCCTCTCCTCCGCTGGGCGGAGTGGGGGAGCGCCCGGGGAGAAGTGGAGGGCAGGCGGGGAGGAGTGCGGGCGCCTTTCCATCTTCCGTTTTTGTTCTTCTACTTCCGCTCAGGTAGTTAATAACGAACTTGGTTTCAGGAACGAAATTATGTTTCCTGCAACCGTAATTTGGTCGAATCAAACTTAATGCTTCTCTGGCTGTGATCTAAGGTAATCTTCGGAATTTGGTAATCTGATGTAAACATTTTTATGGAGTTAGGCACCCCTCGGTCCTAGGTTTCCATATGCATAACCTCCATTATCCCATCATCGCCATAACTTTAATTTTCGTGCAAATAGTCTACTGAAAATGCCTCAAAATAAAACTTAACTCTTTCGAACGCAACCGTAGGCCACCTAACCACATGGGGTCTACAGAGAAATTGCGGAGGTGACGGTCCAAACATGGGCCATTGAGGGATGTTCAAGCGTTACTGACTCCTTTTGTTCTGTGTGCGTCATTTACAGTGTAAGGAGTCCTGAAGCAGTCGGCATTATTACGCAACATGGTCCGGTTATCATTTGCCCACGTTCTGCTAATGTCTGTGTGTTCAATTCCGTTCGTCTCAGGTAGACAGGTAAGAGTAAAAGAGCATGTCTCCGTAACTTACCACTCATGTTACGTTGCCAACGTTATTTATCCGTAAAAACTATAACAAGTGGCTCTTCTTGAGGCACGCTTGAAATTCGTTATAAATTCGACCCACATAAACTGCCTGCACTTAATTTATAAACTAGCTATATGTACGCCAGACCACGTCTCGCGTAACAGGCTTCGCGATCTCACGAAACACTGTTACGCTGCGACGCGCCTGGCGCACATATAGCTAGGCCTGCGGCGCTGACACCCGAGACGAGCAAATGGGAGGATATAGGAAAACAGGGCCATCCGGGCCCAAAATTTGAGATACTGAAACCATTTGTAAAGGCCACATTACTCTAAAATTAGGGATATGAAACTTCTGCTGTTCGGTAAAGGTTTTCATTAAAAGTTCGAATTTTGACAGATTGTTATGTAAAAATCAACGTTTTAGTGATACTAGGTAATCTAGGGACCCTAAAGCCGAATAGAGGGTATGGTTCGACCCTTAATGTGTGGTTGAAGTATTACTCCCTTTACAATTCTGTGACACAGAGCCTTTTTAACGATTAAATAGACCATTTTGTCTTTTTCACGTTGTTTTCGCCAAGAAATGCCTCATAGCGCCGAAACGGTACAAGATAGAGCAAAACGGACGAAATTTTCGCCCATTGGGCTCTTCTTTCACGAGTTACCCATTAGGAGACCATTAAGAAATATTTGAAAAAAGTAATATTTTGTTACCTGCGGTTATTGATTTTTTAAAAAGTCAATTTTTGAGCCAGAGTGCTCATCTTCGAACTCGATCTGTCTTTTTATGATACAAAACGACCCTGAAAATCCCAGGTCGCTATCTCAATTCTTTCTCGAGTTGTCGTGCGCACAGACGGACAGACAGACAAACAAACAGAATGAAACTTTTCCGGTCAGTGGAGTAATGGGCTTCGCTAATCGCTCAGCCAACAATTTGGAGCCTTTGAAAAATAAATATTTTTTTGCTGCAAATTAGAGTAACTGAACCTATTTCGGATCAGTACCTAATTCGGATCAACCGTTTGCAATTTCTTTAAAGAACTAAAATTTAGGTGCCTTAATTTTTTTCTAGAAAAAGAAACCTTACTTTTGTCTCTTGACTCGCTATCATGAGGCTGGGTGTGTTGTGTGGACGACAGGCTGAGTATGAACCCACAGACATAAGTTTTAGTGGTGGAGAGAATCTTTGAAAATCGACCTTTTTCTTTACAAAGATATCAGAATGACAACAGCGTCAATGTTTCGGGCGAGTGTCAAAACATATTTAAGGGTACTAAGAGAAACCCAGGTGGTATACAATGGGTTATGGGTACATTAGAGATTTAGCTGCGAACGTAATTTCGCTGATCCAAATTAGGTTCAGAAGTCATATTTCGGATCTAAAACACGCCTTCCTTGTAATTGCCATATCTTCAACCGAAACAAGTGCAGCTACAATCCTCAAAAAAATTGCAAAATGTAAAGGAACGAGTAGTTTCTCTTCATTTCTTGTCGCTCTCTGCAGAGCGAGGTCTGATTTCCTCGCTCGCGCGATCGATAACAGCACACTGAGAAAACTTTTTCCTGCCGTGCACTAGACGATTGCTTGATGCGTTCTACTCGGTCCTACTTTGTTCTGGACACGAAAAGGTTAGTTTCCACCACACTAAATTACTAAATTTTGAAGTTCAGCATCAAAACATTGGCACCCAGGACAAAGCTGTTTAGTGCGTCCAAACAAAATGTTAAGTGCTCGGGACCAAAACTTTTCTCAGGGTAATAGGTTAAGGAATATCACTGTATTTCAGTGATAATTGGGGGGCAACCTCGCTCTTTTTGTGTAAGGATTCCTCAATTTAACATCTCTTAGTTTGAATAAGAATTTCGAATTCCATTACAGCGAGGTTTCTACGCGTCATTACTAAATTATAGAAAGTAGAAAAATTTCGCTCTGTTCAGCTCAGACATCTGAGATGATCTCACTGCGATGATCTCACTGAGATGACCTCACTTCCAGTATTTTCAGTAATGCTAGCCCGACAGGACCTGACCACTTCCCTTGCAACCCCTACATACCAGGGCTGGCATACTAAATTTAATTATACTTTCCTGTGCGATAGTTTTGTACTTTATAAGTGCACAGTTAAAAAGGGAAATATTTCAATTCAAAATGCAAAATTGTGCGAAATTATATTCGGTTAAAAATGCAAAAGTGCGAAAAAGTGCAAAAATACCTACTATTTTACCTAAAGCCCAATCCAAAAATTGCATGGACACCTTGGAATTCCATGATCTCTTTTCCATGGATAGAGGTCCGTTTTCCATGCAAGATGCATCATATTCCATGTGGTGTCTGTTTCCATGGGCGTTCTGGTGTTCTACCATGGAAATGTGTTTTCCATGGAGCAAGATTCCATGGAATATTCAACAGACAATCTTGAGACATCGACATGCGACAGCCAAAGAAAAGCGAAAACGAGATCCGCCGACGCAGGGGGCTGGGATTGACCCGGTCGGTGGGTCGATCCGAGCACGCTGTGCGTGCGCTGCGGCGGCGGATCTCGTTTTCGCTTTTCTTCGGCTGTCGTATGTCGATGTCTCCAGTTTGTCACCACAGCGGTATTGGAAATGCTCTGGGAGGCTCTGGGAGCCTGTAGTGACCTATCACGTAAAGTCCCCAACGAAAATTTTCACTCAAATTTTAAATAAATAGAGAAGAACTGAGACCTGACAAAAAACGTCCTCCACCATCTTGGAGTTTTTAGGCCCATATGCACTACAGCCTAAACATATTCGTCGTGGGAGTAACTTGAGCGTTTAGTGTAGTCCCGTCCCCCACCCCCTTTCCACGCACTCTGGGTGGATTTTGTGCCTGCCCAGCAGTAATCTGTGAGCCTACACGACTTGTCAACCGTGCTTGCCGATGTGGCAACAGTGCCTTCAAAGGTTCCAAATTGTGATGAACATTTTGCATAATTTGGGAATCAGTTCTACACAATAGTGCAAAAGCGTGTTTACTCAAAAACGTACAAAATGCAAAATTCATTTTGCATGGTTTTGCACTTTGGGTGCTTATTTTGCGCAAATTGGATTTTGCACTTGTGCTTAATATTCAGTCCGTGCAATATATTGTGAACCACAAAGTGTACAGTATTTAATTTAATTGAGTGTGCCAGCCCTGCTACCTACACACACACGAACTCCTCTTTGAAAGCTGTACCTCTAAGTAATCGCCCCCTCCCCTCCCCGCTGTTGCCTATCAACGGCGGCTGTGGACCATGGCAGGGCTGCGGGGAGGATTTTGCCGATAAATCGCGAAATCCAATTTCAATCCCTCTACATTCGCTGATTCACTTTGTGTCATTTCACGTAAAAAAATTACATGGATATGCCGAAGGGGAAATCACTTGCGAAATAGTTCGTACACCTTCCCCTGAAATAGTCCGAATTAAAGGCGAAATAGAGCGAAATAAGCACGAAACAGACGCGAAATAGTCGGTGACATTGTCGCGAAATACCCCTGAAATACTCCCAAATGGCGCGAAATAGCCTGAAATAATCCGAAATGGGCGGGAAGTAGCTGAAATGGCAGGAGAAATAACCGAAATGGTAGGAGAAATACCACGAAATAGTCCGTACGCTACGAACCCTAGTGATTTTCACCTCAGGATATGCCAGGGGTGGGTTGACAATCTCAAGATTTGGTGTGTACGCCATTATATTCGAATGCTGCTGACTGACATGCCTGTTCTGCAGTTCAATGTAGTAAACAATGTTTGTCTTCTAGATGAGTGCTGGCATGGACAGACGGGAATGGGAGTCATGTGCGTCGCATCTTGTTAACGCTGCCATGTCGGGCATCCGCGACAAAGATGACCTCACTTACGGACACGTCACCTTTTTGATCCGGGGACGTCTGGACCAGAGCCACGTGCCCGAGCATTCTGCAGGGAGCGGAGGCGAGTGGTTGTCTAGGCTTCTCACAAGACTTGACGTGCCATGGGCAATCTTCACGGTGGGTGCTTGGATTTTAAACATTTAAACATCTCAAGAT